GGGGAAAGGAGATGGGGGGGAAGGGAGGAAAGGGAGAAGGGAAGGGAAAGGGGGGAAAGGAGGAGAAGAGAAAAGGGAGATAGGGAAAGGAAAGCAAAGGGGACTTAAAGAGGAAAGGGGGTGAGGGGGAGGGAGAGGAGGTTCAGAGATACCCCCCCATCCCTTGCTCGTTGTTGTCGGGGTGGGGGGGAGACTAAGGGAATCACTCCTGCCTTGGCCCTCAGCCCTCGCCTCAACTTATTTTGCTTGGTCTTTTCTTTTCCCCAAATTCCTTTTCCTTCTCTTCTTCACTTTCTTCTATCCACTTATCCTAATCGGTAACTAATTTTTACTCTTTTCGCCACAATAATTATTCCTAATGCTATATGTCCTTTGATGTCTGGCACATTTATTTGTTTTAATAATTTTGGAAATCCACAAACATCATCTTATTGAAAAAAAAAAAAAAAAAAAAAAATGGTCCCACCCTATCACTGTATTTCAAATACGCCGCTAATGAACGTAGATGTTGACGTTGGAGAAAACTTTCAATAAATAAATAAATCAGAAATAAAAGGGGGATAGGGGAGGGAGCAAAGGAGGTGGGGGGGGGGTTAAAAAAGGGAGAGAAGGGAAGTCTGAGGGAACAGATATAGGGCTTAAGGTGGGAGGGGAGGAGTGAATTTAAGGATGACTTGGGAAGGAAAGGGGTTAGTAGAGCGGAAAAGGGAGAAGAAGAGGAAAAGGAAAAGGGAGTAAAGAGGCGAGAGGTAAAAGGAGTGGGAGAATAGGGGAGAAGTACTTTTTTTCGCTCCATGGAATTTCGATAGTCTAGCTAGTTTCTGTCATCATTATTGGATTGTGATCGGCCAAGATCACAATAATATTTCATTTAAGAAGTGCTAAGAGGAACTACATATTCATCTGAGTAAAATGAAAAGGTTATATACCCCAATGCATTTTGTAGAAAGTTTGATTTTGCAGTGCACCGAATGTCTCAAGAGATTGCTGTATAAAGGGGAAAGTTGTGTCTGCAGCAAAAGTTAGCTATTGTTTATTTTGGAACAGAATATAGTGTTCATGATTTGTAGTAGTTTTCTGGTAAAAACTAATACAAACAAATAAATTTAAGAGGTTTGCATTATCATCTCTATTATGAGGATCTGTAATAATAGCACGCGTTGTCTTATTTGCAATTGCTTATTAGATGATAATCATACATTTCTAGGACATGCAATTTATTAACTAGTGTTACCTATAAACATGTTGCATAAACCACTTGTACTATTTCCTAGGAGGACTTCTTGTTCATGGTCATTGTCGTGAGCATCACATCTAGAGGGCGTTCAAATACCCTTTTCTTCAGGGCGGCCAAATTGTTCATTTACATACAAGAAGTTAGAAGATTCCTGGCATGGGATAGCTTCTGATGGTTCTATGCAAGTCAGCTGTTTCTGGTCGAAAACGGAGCCCTCACCACACATTAAGCTGTTGATTAGAAATATTTGTTAATTCATATTATAATTTCAATAATAGAATATGGAATTTCATATCTGTTGTAAACAACATAAAAAATTCTCTGAAATATTTTTCCTGTATTAATGACATACCTGTATTGATAAGTTTCAATGGCACCATTGGAGAAGAGTGCAGGATAGCAGATATGGAAGATACTGCAGGAGTTGTCCTGGTCAGCATAGTAACCATAAGGACGTTCAGCACAGGAGAAGGAAGTTGATATGTCTCCTAATAAAGCAGTGGCTCCTGCTGGGAGGTTCAGGGGCTCAAAGAATCCATCTACATACTGTAGGTCTTCCAAGCCTGAAAAAGACCCTGCATTCCCAAGATTACTCAGGAATGAACCAACAGCATCACCAGCTCCGAATCCACTGCCAGCACCTCCTTGGATGATTCCAACTCCGAATCTGCTGCCAGTACCTCCTTGGCCACCTCCAGCTCTGAATCTACCGCTAACACCTTGCTGGCTTCCAGCTCCTGCTCCGAATGCACTACCTGCTCCTATCTGTCTGCCTCCAGCGCCGAACCCACTGCCTACACCTCCTTGGCTGCTTCCAGCACCGAATTTGCTGCCTGCACCTCCTCGGCTGCTTCCAGTACCTTGTTGGCCGCCAGCTCCTGACCCAAACCCACTGCCAGTACCTCCCAGGCTGCCTCCAGCACCAAATCTGCTTCCTGCACCTTGTTGGCCACTAGCTCCTGCTCCAAACCCGCTGCCAGCACCTCCTCGACTGCCTCCTGCACCTCCTTGGCTTCCTCCAGCACCGAATCTACTGCCTGCACCTTGGCTTCCAGCCCCTGATCCAAACCCTGATCCAGCACCTCCTCGACTTCCTCCAGCACCTCCTTGGTTGCCTCCTGCTCCAAATCTACTGCCGGCACCAGTACTTGCTCCAAATCCACTACCAGTTCCTCCTTGGTTGGTTCCTGCTCCAAATCTACTGCCTGATCCTTGTTGGCCTCCAGCTCCTACTCCGAACCCACTGCCAGCTCCTCCTCGGCTTCCTCCTGCACCTCCTTGGCTTCCTCCAGCACCGAATCCACTGCCAGCACCTTGTTGACCCCCAGTTCCTACTCCAAATCCATCACCTCCCTGGTTGCCTCCAGCTCCGAATCTGCTGCCTGCACCTTGCTGGCCTCCAGCCCCTGATCCAAATCCACTGCCAGCACCTCCTTGGCTACCTCCAGCACCGAATCTGCTGCCTGCACCTTGCTGGCCTCCAGCCCCTGATCCAAATCCACTGCCAGCACCTCCTTGGCTACCTCCAGCACCGAATCTGCTGCCTGCACTTTGCTGGCCTCCTGCCCCTGATCCAAATCCACTGCCAGTTCCTCCTTGGCTGCCTCCGACACCGAATCTGCTGCCTGCACCTCCTTGGCCTCCAGCTCCAGATCCAAATCCACTGCCAGCACCTCCTTGGCTGCCTCCGGCACCGAATCTGCTGCCTGCACCTCCTTGGCCTCCAGTTCCAGATCCAAATCCACTACTAGCACCTCCTTGGCTGCCTCCGACACCGAATCTGCTGCCTGCACCTCCTTGGCCTCCAGTTCCAGATCCAAATCCACTGCCAGCACCTCCTTGGCTGCCTCCGGCACCGAATCTGCTGCCTGCACCTTGCTGGCCTCTTGTACCTGTTCCAAATCCACTGCCAGCACTTCCTCGGCTGCCTCCAGCTCCTGCTTGGAATGTGCTACCAGTACCTCCCTGCTGTCCTACTCCAAATCCACTGCCAGTTCCTCTTTGGCTGGTTCCAGCTCCAAATGCACTACCAGTACTTCCCTGACTACTTCCAGCTCCTGCTGTGAATGGACTGCCAGAACTTTGTTGGCGGCCTCCAATTGCACCTCCTTGGTTTCCTCCAGCTGCAAATGTACTTCCACCTACTTGGCTTCCTCCAGCTCTGAACACGCTGCTAGTACCTCTCTGGCTGCCTCCAAGTCTGACAGCGCTGCCAGCACTTCCTGGGATGCCTGTGCCACCTTGATTATTCTGGAAGGAGCTGCTTTGGAATGATGATCCTGCAAGTTTGACGGAAACCTGTTGTGCTTTTTGTTGTCCTTGGTTTTGGAATGATCCCGGCTGACTGAAGCCATTTCCTGAATCAGAACCAGCAAGTTTAACAGCAGGACTAATAGGTGAACCAAACTGGAAGCGCCCTCCTGAATTTTGGTTGCTGCTGCCTGATTGGAATTTATTTCCTTGGGTTTGGAAAAAACTGAATCTTCCTCCAGAAACGCCAAACTGGTTTCCGGCTTGACTTGAGAGAGAACCAGATGGGCTGCTACTTCCAATCAGAGGACTTGACCTAAAGCTTCCTCTCTGACTGTTCTGGAATGAGCCAGAACTGCTCCCAGAGGAAAGGCCTTGATTATTTTGAAGAGCGTTTCCTTGGAATTGGCTGTTGAAATTTCCAACAGAAAAGGAATTGCCCTGGAATCGGTTAGCAGAGCCAGAAGAGTAAGAGAAGAATCCCGGGGAGGCCAGTCTCACAGCCGTGGTGTACTGCGTTCGCTGTAATTCCTGGCCGGCAGCCACCGCTGCCAGCAACACTAGAAATCAAATGGAAAATTAGAATTGCTTTACTTTTCCTTCGTGATTTGATTACCAAAAACGATAATAAAGTTACAAGATGAAACCGATAATGACGATAAATGATAAAATCATATGTAGTTGACTACCGATAAATATAAAGACTAATATGAATAAAATACCTACTGTCGAAACAGTCGATATTTCTCTTCAGGGTATTCTGTATGAATTACATAACAAAGCCATGTAAAATACTAACAAAGGTAGTTTATAATGTACACGCCCAAAAGTTGAAGATCACCCATTACAAAATTAACATTGTAGATCAGCAGACGCAAGATGGAGGGAAAGGGAATGCCAACTTAGTGTGTGAGGAGGGTTGGGAGGGTTGGGAGTGGGGAGGCTACGGCACTGTACTGAGGAAGAGGAAGCTTTCACTCTCTTTATATCCAAATACTATAGGATGATAGAAATAATGATAATAAAAAAAACGGCTTCAAGTGTCCGTACAAGACGCCCCTGTGTGAAAAGGGTGGGTTAGGATGTCATCATAATGCGTATGAAAAGTAGGACACAATTCCAAAATACTGATGCCATCCGGCATACACAATATGGAGATGTAAATATCTAGGAGAAACACACACACACACATGAATATGCATATATTCATGCATACTAAAACATACATACATACACATGAAAACAGACGCACAAGCACACACATACATGCATACACACATACGCATACATATAAACACATATGCACACCCAAACACACACTCATACACATCCAAACACACACACGCATCTACACACCCGAACACACACACACGCATATACACACCCAAACAAACACAAACACACATTCACACCCAAACAAACACAGACACACATGGACATTGAATAAACACTATTTCAGTAGTGTATAAATCTCGAAAAATTTAACCAACTCACCAATTAAGACCGCCCTCATGGTTGTCAGCAGCGGGTGGTGACCGGAGCAGCTGTGCCCAAAGCAACAACGTGTCGGCCTTATATACCCCCCATGCACGTCAGCCAGGAAGAGGGCGGAGCCTGGAAACCTGGGAGGTATCGGGGTGAACAGAGAGAGTGAGAAAGAAAGAAAGAAAAAAGAAAAAAAGAAAAAAAGAGAGAAATGAGGAGGAACTTGAACAAGAGGGAAGATAAACCTGTGTGGGAATTCTTTAACATAGTTCATGCCCAAAGAGTTGCTTGTTAGATGAAGCAAACGGATACACTTAGGAGTGTGTAATTAGACGTAGAATACACACACACATATATATACATATATGCATATGTATTTGCATATATATACATATATAGTTATATGTATGTTTATATATATGGGTATATATATACATACATATATAAGTATTTACATATAAATACATATACATACATATATAAATATTTATATATAAATACATATACATATATACATATGCATATATACTCATATACATATATGAGTATCTACATACATATACATATATATACTCGTATACATATATACATATGCATATACATGTATAGATATATATGCATATATATACATATAAACATATATATAAATATATATACATATAAAATTATATATGCATATATATATGTATATCCATACACACACACACACACACACACACACACATATCCATATATATATATATATATATATATATATATATATATATATATATATATATACATATATATATATATATATATATATATATATATATATATATATATATATATATATATATATATATATATGGACACACACACACAATACCCTTTGACTGTCATTCAAAAAACACACATTCTTAAATCAAATGTTTAGCCCAGATTCCCGATACCTTCAACTACCATACTATGGACACTCGAGCTTGACCTTCCATTTCCCACAAATTAGTTTCAGAATGATCTTTACCAATTCCAGAATAATTCGTTTTTCTTTTCCGACAAAAGACTCTTTTCAAAAACATCTATGCTCAGACGTAGTAAGCTTTTACAAATGTTTTAGCTGTAACACTAAAAGATGAGATATTACGAGCATAAAGGGGTCTCTTATCGGAAATCACGTCCACTATCCGATATCATTCTCTTAAAACAAACCATGAAATAGAGGATTTCATAATAATAAGAAAGGGACAAGATGTAAATGATTTAAGAACATTATAATCATTATTCATGTAATAAATGTAGGTTAAACACTTTATTTATATTCTAACTTTAGTAGAATATAAATATACTTTTATAATTTGTGTTGCTACAATTTTTTTTTTGTTTTCCTATTTTCGTTTTATTCGCTGCAATTATATATTCACAGTTAATGTATATAGTTTTACAGATTTGTTTCTCTTGTAAATGCAGATTCTGATGATGGACACAGCTGTTTTTTTTTTTTTTTTTTTTTTTTAAGATTCGCGAGGCAGAGCCTCGCCCGGGCTATGCCTATTTGGGGAGCCCGGTTCACAGCTGTTGATGTCCGAAAGCTAAATAAATGAAGATGCGGGTGATGTGGTGTCCTGCTGACATGGTCCTCCTGTTTATGATAAGAATCTGTTTCCCACGTGGAACGTGTGTGTGTATGTATTTATATAATATGCATATATATACATATATATAATATACACATATATATATGTATATGCAATATACATATATATATATGTATGTATAAATATAATATACATATACAAATATGTATATATATAAAATATTTAAACACACACATACACACATCTCTCTCTTTCCACACACACACACACACACACACACACACACACACACACACACACACACACACACACACACACACACACACACACACACACACACACACACATATACATACGGAGTCAACACAGTGGATAATCAAGAAAACCATTCTGGCCAGGGTACACTTACAGGTTAGGCGGCGCCTGGAAGCAGAAAATAAATAAAGTGGCCGAGAGAAAAATGCATAATCACATGTGGCCCGTCAGGTCTTGCAGAGATCAGAGAGGAGTCCTGAATCTGCCACTGGTTGCCGGACGCACTCGGTAACCCAACACGACGCTGAACGGTGCCTTGGATCCTCGCCTGCTCCGGTCTGCGGATACCGGTGCTGGGCGTTGTGTGTGTGTGTATACATGCATGCGTGTGTGTGCGTGTGTGTAGTTTTAGGTGTAAGTATGTATGTGTATTTATTTTTTTTTTTGTATGTGTATTTTTTTGAATGTGTATTTTTTTGTATGTTTGTGCATTTGTGTATTTTTTGTATGTTTGTGCATTTATGTATTTTTGTATGTATGTGTGTTTCGTGTTTATGTGCGTGTATTGTTTGTATGTATATGTTTATGTTTTGTATGTATATATGAGTGTATTTTTTGTATTTAAGTATATGCATTTTTTTTTATGTATGTATATGTGTATTTTTGTATGCATGTATATGTGCATTTTTTAGTATGTGTATGTCTGTATTTTGTATGCTTTACACAAACAATCCTGTATTTGTATAAATTGTTGTTTGTTGTGTCATTTATAATTCATTTGCGGGAAATAGTCTACATTTCCAAAAATCTTGCACAAGACCAGTAGCAATATTACAGAGTGGCTGATGGAGATAGTTGCCCATTTTACTGTATAGGCTGCTCCACAGCTCCCCCCCCCCTACCCTATTATATTTTTATTTTTTTCTAAACTCTAAAAACTGGATTTATAAACCACAATATACCACTATGTCTTAAGTTCCTCAAATCTCAAAACCTAAACATTAGATTTATAGATTCATATCAAATAAATAAATTTTAAAAATACGTTCCTACAAATTGAAAAAAAAAAAAAAAAAATCAATATATATGGGCACACCAACATCCATGTACCTCAGTTGAACTCTATATTAATAGATTCTCATATAAAATTTTAAAAATGTATTGTTACAAAAAGAAAGTATATTTTTTACAATATATGGGCTCAAGGACCTCCATATATCTCAACCAAATTCGAGATTTAAAGATTAGAAAAAAATGCATTGTTATAGCTGAGACGACCATAAATAATAATAAGATTTCCACTGTATATGGTCACAAAAAAGGTGCATTGTTACAGTTGAAACGAACATTCAAAACCGAAGTCAAATTCATCACATCACATTTCCAGGTCCGCCCGTGCATAGGAACAAAGACCCAGCGATCCGAACGCACAAAGCACTTGGTTCCCGCCGATACAGCATTGCCCCAGACCTTTTTTTTTTGACACGTTCAAGGTCTTTGCAATACGAGACCTCATGCCCTCGGAATCTCACAGGCAGATTGCATGACAGGTTGGTGTTTATAATTGATAAATACAAGTTTCTATTTGTTGCCGGGTTTGGCGTTTCATTTACTGTTAGGTGATTTGTGATTTAATGAGTAACGTTATTTTGTCATCAGTAGAATGTTTGTGTAGTTGTTTTATTTACTAAAATGTTTGAAATACTGAATAGAATTTGAAATCTCCAATCATGATTTGAAATCACTCGCAAACATATTTATTTGTAAAATGAGGGTAACTATCACAGTTACGTAATAACTGAAATTATCATATTAATATTACTGTTGTTATTCTTATTGTTACTATTACTATTATCGTTATCATCATCATCATTTATATTATTATCATCTATAATGCAATTATGCTTGTGTGTCGTCCGTCCGTTCGTTTGTACGTTAAGCCTGAAATCATAAACCATGTGACTGCGAGGCTGAAATCAATTCATTTTCATGTACATTACAATGATTACTAACATGAATATTAGAAAATGACACATAAATGCATCATATTCGAACAATCATTATTATCACTGTAATTACATTTTTTATTCTAACTATTATTACCATTCTTCTAGAGGAGCACGCTGCATTGGGTTAGTTAGACTGTCAGTTTGTGTACATTTACTATTTACACGACTTTCCAGTTAAGAAGGAAGTTAGGAGGGAAAGGGAAGGGAAGAAGAAGAAATGGGACTTTAAGAAGAAAGGAGGGTTTATTGTATAACATAAACACACATACTAAAATTATATATATATATATATATATATATATATATATATATATATATATATATTTTTTTTTTTTTTTTTTTTTTTTTTTTTTTTTTTTTAAGATTCGCGAGGCAGAGCCTCGCTCGGGCTATGCCTATTTGGGGAGCCCGGTACATGTATTGTGTGTATATATATATTTATATGTACTGCGTACCTAATAAATATCTAAAACAAGAAAAATGCTTCCGTTATATATTAAAAAAAAAAAAACACAAAAGTACATCTACTGTATTTTCAAAAACTATCTGGGAAATCAATGGGTTATCGAAATTTAAATTCAGATATAATATGTAACACACTTTAGATTGAAACATTTTTTAAACATACTGTGAACACATTACAGCAACATTTTAAAACCATACTGCTAATGCGATTATAAACTCTACAATCTTTTCGTATATTTACAGTATATAACTGAATCATTTTACACTAAAAAGGATATTTAGCATCTCTTAAAATATTATCTTAAATGCAATTTTCTTCACATAGGATAGCATCCATATGGCTATAAAATTGTATATAGATACCATTTTACCCATTATAAACAGCATTCCTTTTAGCAGTTGAAAAATAAACACCCTCGCTGCAGATGCAACACATAACACATCTTAACATAGGAAAAACATAAAAGAAGTGAAAAGGTAAACAATAAACTCATTGTTTTGGCGTGTTGTGCTCTTAAAGTGACCGGTCTGGTTATCAGCATTTTGCACCTCGTATCTTACTAGATAATGTCTTACTTTTAACTTTTAGCTTTTTTGTCTGTTTCATTTGTTCTACTTTGTGATCTGTACATAAATCTCCGGAGAAATAGTAAGTTCATTAGCAGTATCAAAATCAGTACTGAAAATAGGAAAATTGGATAAATTATACAGCATAAAACAAA